AGTTAAGTGATAACTTATGATTGGAAACGATGATAAATCACGGAAAATTAAATAAAACAATGATTAAATTCATGACAAAATGATCATTTGAGATTTTGGTAATTGATAAATTATTCGAAATACTGTGGCAATGCAATAATAATTATTAATAATAACAAATGGTAACGATTTAAAGAAAACGTATTTTTACTTGCGATAGAGAAATGATTTTCGCATAGAAGCCATTCATTGCTATTAATATCGTTGCTATGAATCCATAAGCAATAATCGAGTGGTTGCAATTCAGTTGGTGAGAAACCACGGCTAAAAACATATACAGTTTAGAAATTTTTTAAATAATTTTGCAACAAAAATTACAAAATTTTTTCAATTGTTTGTTTTTCATTTACTCTTTGTTCATTCATTTCACAAATTTTAGCAGAATTCGATTAAAAAATCGACTGTAACAGTTTAAGATCTATGACGAGGGTCACTTGTAAATAAATTGTTTAAACTCATAACTTCAAAGATACAATTGCAAAATGAAATAAATCTTTTAGTTGATGAACGATAAAATAAAACATTAGATCTAACGTACCTGATATGATATCGTAACATAGAAGGTAAAAGGGTTGTTTCCACAAAATATGATGCCAACAATTTGTGATAATTTAAATTTTCATCTGTAAAATAATAACAATAACATTAAGTTAATTTATTTAGAATAAAAAAAAATTGGCAAAAACTAAATTGGGAAAATTTTGTAAAAATTATTGCATACCAATTTTTTCTTTTGTTTTAGCCCAAATTTTGGTAAAAAATCCTTTCATTGTTGCCATTGCAAATGAATCAGCATCAACAATACGAATCTACAGTGCTATATATAATCCCTCATATTTTATCGATAAAATTACAAAAAATACGTAATATACATAAATTATCACGTGAAAGAAGATAAAAGCATCATTTTTATTGTATTTTTATTTTTATTTTAGTGGAAAAAAAAACGAACGTTTGTGTGGTTTAAAACAAAAACAAAACATCAAAGATTTCAGAATAGTGGACGCAATTATCTTTGAGCGCAAGAATATATGAACCAGTATTTAGCATTGTTTTTGATATCAATGAAAAATTAATTTGAAAAATTAATTAATAGTAAAGTAATCAATGATGCATGAAAGAGCTTACATCAAAGATATCATTGATGGGATTCAATAATACTGTATTAGCGAATTCATGGATTTCGAGTGATAATGGGAATACATCCTCGTCTTTATTTTCTAACATTTGCTTAACTGCTTCTGATAACGGATTGCAAAAATCAGGCATCGGTGTTACAGGCATGTGACACTGATGTGCTATCGATTCTCGACATGCCTACGAAAAAATTTCAACAATTTCGAAAGAACTACGCAGAATTTAAAAGAATTTACATTTATGTCTGATACGACAAAGTTATGCCTGATAAGACAACGCAATATATTTGTTTCCTTTTTTAATGAATTTTTAATCAATATGAGCTACTATATATTTATTTGTTGTTGACAAAAGTTAAAAGTTTAAATGTTAACGATAAGTAAGTTATTTCTGTCAGGCTATTATGTATTCTAAAATAAATCAAATTCCAGGAATAATTTATTTCTTACTTATTTGCATAAAATGATATTGAAATTGCTACCTCATGAAATGAAACTTCTGATTTCACCGCTAATTTGCCACCTTGTAATATTTCAATTTCTCGAACACATAAATCATCACGTGTATGAACATCTTCTATCTGATATACAAGTGGTAAAAGTCCTGCTACTGAAATTTAGCTAAAAAATTAAATTTGAAAATTTTTTAACGTTTGTTGTTACATCAATATTATTATCATTATAATTATCCGCATCTTTTCCAATTATACCTTCCATCAATACCATATTTTTCACATATTATTTTTTACATTCAGCAGTCAACAACAATTTGTTAAATTACGTAAATTGATAAGTGAAAAGAAACTTTATAAATTAACAGGTATTATGTATTAGCCTATTTTCTGATGATTGAATTTTTGTATATCGAATGCAACCCTTACAGCAAAAAAAAGGAAAAGGAGAGTTTACTATTGTAATTACCAGTAATGCATCCATCAAGCTATCAGTTGATTATTGTTATTTAAAAAAAAAAAAAACTAAATTGAGTTTATTTTTAAATATGATAATTAAAAAAAAATTATTTGAAATTACAGTTACTTTTGTTACAAAAATATGTGTGACAACTATTGATAGCCATTTTTTGCGGAACATTTTTGATTGCAGTTGCCATTGCTCGTGACACGATTAGTCCATTAGAAATGGGTAATTTTGTTGATTCAGATCTTGAAAATTTTATTCCATAAAAATACTCTATTTTCATTCTAATTTCACTTTATAAAAAAAATTAGGAATTAGAAATTAAATAATTATAACAAGTTAATATAAAATACCAAATAAATAATAACATTTAAATCATTAACTGTTAATCTTCATCGCTACGTACAGTTAATCTTTTCAATTTCTAACTTTGAATTTTAGGATAAAGTATATGTTATCCTAAAATTACACGGTGATAAAATTAAACGACAAATCATACATTTGTCACACATATATTTCCTTTATCTGTAATGTTACAGATAGATTTATGAAACTAGCGAAAAAAAAAAAATGCTAAATTTACAACCGTACAAATGGACACGAGTAAAAACACTTAAAAGAATTTACAAAGAATTAGCTGAGTTTATGAATTTCCAAAAAAAAAAAAAAATCCCATATCAAAGAAGCTTTATTGGATAGATATGAAGAGATGGGACAAATATTTCTCGATTGCCATTGAAATTGTTATTCAGTTCACGATGAAATATTTTATCAGAAATTGAAGTTGACAGATGAAATTTGCAAAAATATTCTGATTGCTTTCAGCAACCAAATTATTTAATCAATTAATTATAATTTTCTCTATTCCAGAAATATAATAAATCAATAGTTTTAATTAATAATTAATGATAACCTGTAAGTGTTGGCATTCATTTTCTCCAAATCAAACAAATTTTTGGTATCCATCAAACTGCCAGTAAACGTATTTGAATTACGAAATAACTGATGCGTAAGATTAATACTACGATTTGACACTGTAAAATTAAATAGTATGAAAATGTTAGACAAAATTTTAACTGAAATTATAACCAGGATAGTCACTTTGAACATCGCTACATAAATAACAATGGGGCATTTTGAATTTAATATTCGCTAGGAAAAATGCCAGTCTAAATCTGTCCGTTCATTATTTTCTTCTTGAATTATAAAATTTTCATTTGGAAAAAGAAAAAAGCCAAGGATCTTTTTTTTTTACTTCTAAAAATTCTCTTTTCTCCATTATTTGCCCATTGCAAGTATCATCAATGTCTGATTATTTAAGTTAAGTCTACAGCAAAAGATAAGTCTTATCTCGAAGAAATTGATTCTCTTATCTTACGTTATCTTTGGAAAAATAGATTTCTTATTCGCGTATAACTAGCCATTAACTCTTTTTTTTTTCTGATTGAAAGACAAATAAATGAATAGAAAGAAACATTGTGTTGAAAAAAGAAGAGGAAAACTAAAATGAAATTAAATAATGGAAGTTAAAAAAAGATAAAACATCAAAATAAAATGATGAAATCAATCAATGTATACATACTCATTAGTGAAGTTTAATTAATTATCAACAATAATTATCCATAAAAATTTCATTTATTTCAGCAATTATCAAGCAGAATTCAATTAAAACAGCAAACGTTAAAATGATGTCAAACAATAAAATTAATTGATTGATTCAACCCATTATACAAAATTAAATTAAATGTTCTGCGAAAACATTAATTTCTGTTGTAAATAATCTTCCAAAACGATTTTATGCAAATATCCTGGAAGTAATAGACAAATAACAAAAGAAAAAACGAATTATCGAGTGATGAAAAAACCTAATATACTCAAAATCAATCTAATTTTGCAACTACTCCATTTTAATTATCATTCTACTCATCCAATTAATTTTAACAAATGTTAAGCTTACAATTATCCTATTTTATCTATTAAATTTCATTTTAAACTATGCTATATTAAAATATTTTCTAAAAGAACAAAGCTTATATTTATTCTAACTTTTTGTTTAATATAAAAAATTTATTTTTAAAAATGTTATGCAATAAATGATGAATAAAATGGATCAAAAAAAAGTCAATAATGACAAACCAACAATAGAACACATAGTGATGAAGAGTGAAATAAGCAAACAACCACACCAAAATGCAAAAATCGACTCTCTCATTAAAATTTGATTTTTATAGGCTTACTAGAAGAGGCATAATATACATATAAAGATTTGAAAAATGCTTCAACAACAAATGTTATCTATTGAAATATTAAAAGAAAAAATCAATAACTAACTAAGAAGTTCTTTCGAAAAACTTTTCAAGTCACATTCGCATTTGAAAATATCGAAAATTTTGATAACTATGATGTAATTTTTATTGTTTAACTTATTATTGTGATTGTAATGTTAAGATGAAGTTAAGAATTAAATCATAATTTCGTCCAATTAATTTATTAGTAAAATTCAATCAGTATCTCCTTCTGCAACTTCTTTATTTTTTTAAATATATTTTTTAAATTAATGAAATGAGGATGAAATTAGCAAATTTTATGATTCATTTAAGCAATTATAGCAATTATACTTGTAATAGCTTATTCGGAACTTGTGTTGATATCGTTCGCAACATTTGAATCGATACTGGTATAAATTATATAACTCAGATAAATAGTTGAATTTAAATACCGTTAAAAATATCCAATTTTCAAATTAAACACTTCCAATGATGTCCAAAATTCAAAATTAAAAAGTATTTGATAATTTTAATTTAATGGTTGTGTTAAAAAACACAAGATTTAAACACTTATTAAGGTCACCAGCAAAAAAAAATTGAAGTTACGTTAATTAAATACTAAATTACCATGTCATCATTGATAAACTTCTCTGTTTTTCTCTTCGACATTTAAATTAAATTTTTGCACTATTTCACAATCAAACTTTTTATATTTTAACGAAATTTACATCACTTTTATCAAATTCATCGTTAATTCGTACAATTCTAATTTCTTACATATATTAGTTATCAAGTTATTTTATATAATACATGAGTTTAGGAAGCGGTTTTTTCAGATGAGTAAAATTATTTAACTTTTTCCATTTTTTTTAAAATGATAATAAAAGAAGCAAACTATTATTAAATTGTTTGGCAAAGACTGAGCACTCGATCCACAGTTATGATTCAAAAATTTCATGAACAGTAAATAAACAAAGAATTATAGTAATACTGTTTACTCATCTAACTGGTTTTCAATTTTTATTCATTAAATTTCGCAAAGAATGGTTTTTTTCTAAACTTTCATTTTATCACATTTTATTCTTAATGTGGTAAAACGATCAAAAATTTCAGTAAAGTACATATATAAATTAGAAAAAATTAGAAAAAAAAATAATTAGAAAAATCAGAAAAAAAAATCGTTTCCCTATCAAAATTTTCTCATTCACTAAACGACAAAAAAGAAATTTTAAACGAAGTAACAAAAATTTAGCTAATATGAAATTAAAAAAATATCTATCTCAACTATCTTTTTGCATTCATATTAATACTTTTCGGGCAGGGAAAAATAAAAAGTATACTTAATTGAATGATCAAATTTGTCAATCAAAAAAAAAAAAAATTTTTAGTTAAACTACCAAAAAAGGAATAGAAATGAATGATAATGCGAAACTTTGGGTAATTTTGAAATATTTGACTACAGAAATTTATCAGTTATATTAGTTGTTTGCTAATCTGCTCATCAAATAATTTATTTTTTAAATAAAACATTCAAATTTCGTATTATTTAACATATTTTTTTTCGAATTTAGAAACATAAAAATGAGATTTTTTATTATTATTTAAAATTTATAAGTTCACAAATTAGCATGTCTTAACTCAATAATTGTAAAAGTCATTTTATTAACATATTAGCTATATAATCTAACAAGAAATTTGAGCATTAACTTAGGCTGTTACCAAAAAAAAAAAAAGATCGATAGTAAAAGAAACAAACCATTATTAAGTTTTTGTGACAGATTGAATTGTAGTCCAAAAATTAGCGTAGATTGAGTATCAGCATGCATCATCATTGTATTCAAGAATTTCATCATTCTCGAATGCAAAAAAAATGAGTGAAACCTTTCAGCAGCAGTACTGTTTACTCACCATCATCTGAGAATGTCTCTTTGCGTATTTTCACTTATAAGGTTTTCTCATGGGAGGGCTGAGCCACGGGGTGGGAGAAATGAAGGAAAAGGGCGAGGTTGGAGTAAACCAGTAATTGCGAGTAATACCTTTTAAAGATAAGCATTTCAAAAGGTAAACATCCTAATGTAAACGTTGCTAACTTAACAAATATGCAATTTTACTCGCTTGTAAATGGCAATTTATATCTCTCAACAATATAATATTGAGTGCAATTGAATTTAATATAATCGATTTGAATGCTATTTATGATATATTTTTGATTTTTACAAAAATATCTCATAGTATTACCAATCTTGAAAGAAATATATTTGTAGGAGGAATATTTTTTTTTTTTTTTGTTCGAAATACTAATAATTTTTGCAAATCATATGCTGCATGAAGCTAATTATTCAGAAAAATTTTCTTTTTTCAGATTTGCTAAAGATTATTCAACAATTACAAATATGAAATAATCATGTTTTTTGATTTTCATACATTATCAATTTTGAAAAAAGCATCCATTAATTGCAAATTGTTAAATTATGACTGATAAAATTTATCAAGCATGAATACTAATTAGTTCAAAGAAATTTAATGTCCATAATGACGTTCCACTCCACTACATTTTATTTCACTCGCTCATTTTTATTAAAATACGATAAAATTCTAAGAGAAAATACGATAAAACCACGATAACAGAAGTTCTATTTGAATGCAACGAAAGATTTTTCAATTATTTTTGCTTCAAAAAGAAGTTTAAAAAATGGAAAAAAAAATGAAGCTACATAGCAATTACTTGTTAAATTTTTAGGATTTTATAAAATTTGTGAAATTTTAAATTAAATTAAAATTGCAACTTCCAATCCTTTTATTTATCACTTTTTATTTTATGGAAGGTTAAAGCATAACTTTTTAAATTAACAATAAAATATTTCAATCAGAGAAATCTATCTCAATTAAAATCTTTTTCATAATGAAAAATTTATGTAATAATTTTGCAGCGAAAATTAGACACCGTAAGGAAACATACGAATTTATAATTTGTATGTTTCCTTACGGTGTCTAATTAACTTTATTTTAGACTCTAAACTTATTTCAAGGAAAATATACATATATCTATCTAATTGATACAAAGTATTCTTACCCACTATCTTTTTAGGAGTAGCGTGATATACCTTTTTTATAACTTATTGATTTAGTCTTATATTAGGAATTAATTTAGAAATCATATACTTTTACGAGAATAACTTAGCAGATATTTTCATCAATACAAAATTTCTTATTTCATTATTTCTGTTCTATCGTATTGTATCTTGACGGTTTTCGCAAATATTTTATTTCAACTTTTGCAATAAAGTTAGAGTTTTATTAAAGAAAGAAAAGCGAAAATGGTGCTTAAGGGAAAATCTTAAAGGGCATATGACGCCTTCTATCTCCAAAGCTTGCAATTAAGCATCAAAACTATTTCCACTACACATCATTTTTTTTAAAAAATATATTGACTATGAACCCAAAGCCTTCATATTCTTTCCCGTAGGTATTAAACTTCCCGGAGTTTCTTTACAATATTAGCCAACTTTAGAAGTGTTGAAATAATTACGATGGCGTGGGAATGAAAATTGCTTCGCTTATAAGAATTTCACTATTTTTTGCTGTAGTCTTACCTCCTTTATACCTTTCTTATCCATGAAAATTGGTATTAAGTCTTCGAATCGTTCATTCAAAATGCATAAAAATATGAAGTTCATAATTTTTTATTATAGTAGTGAAGTTACACTATAATATAGAAATATAATAAGTAAACTACAAAATCAAATCTGCAATAAGATTGTCTATTGATCAAAAAATGTGCCATTTTTCCCCAAAAAAGTTAACACAACTAAAAGTTATGCATAATTTCATTATAAAGCTTTTCATCAATTTTTCATTTCTTTCATGATAGAAATTTCCCATTTGAATTTTCGATCAGATTATTGCATAAAGTGAAGCAGAGAGGTACTACGAAGGAAGTGATTCTTTAGATATCACGATAGCAAAAAGTGAGAAACTTCAAAAATTAATCTCAACTTTATGAAATAAAAAAGCATAAAGGAAAAAAAAATCTCTTTCTCTTCTCATCAAGAAAGATTACTACACAAGGAAAGTTACTTATCAAAGATTTTGCAAATAGTGAAAATCACAGAGTGTAATGGTGAAAAAAGAAAAAACAAAAAATCTCTAGGCAAAATAATAAATTTGTCTGAAGATTATTTTCATTAGATCCAAATATGCGCAATGTTTGTGAAGATCAAACATTCGCAAGCATATACTATCTAATTATGAAACCAAAAAAAGACCTTTATAAAATGCATTATTTGATTTTGCATCATCAAACATAATATGAAAATCTGATAAACCTGTGTTATGAAACTGGAAATGGAAGATTATGTTAAAAAGGCTAATAGTGAATAGAATGAATGTAATAAATGAAATCTAAACATTAAAAAACCCTTAAAATTTAATTAAATGTCAATGAGCCAATGTACAAGCAAAAATTTCATTATAGATTCATATTAATATTAATCAGATGTTCAGCTGCCCGCTTGGTAATATTTAGCGGTGGGTATATTATTCGTAGATTGGGTTCGCGCAACAAAGATAAAGCGGATATGCTGTAGCATGTGTGCAAAGCATCTGGAATTATGTGAAATTCAAAACAAATCTTTCTGAATTAGTATTTGACCAAGCAAAAAGTGAGAAACTTCAAAAATTAATCTCAACTTTATGAAATTCTCATAAAAAAGCATAAAGGAAAAAGAATATCTCTTCTCTTCTCACTTTTCTTTTTCAGTCGGCCCGAAAAATTTGGATGTGTTCAGTCCAAAAAAGAACAAAATTTAAGCATCAGAAGAAAAACAAAGAATTTATAACCTGAAATTCTTTTGCCTGATTATATTTGGCTATAAAGGAAAATAGTTTATATTCACATTTTTACGATGGAAATTTTAACGACATACCCGGCACAACATCGATAAATTTGCCAAAACCTCCTAATTCTCTGTCTTGAGTCGAATAAATAAAGGATCGAAGTCGTTCTTTATCCACGAACATATACGCATCCAAAATCTGAAAAAACATTGCTTCAAAGCAGAAAATTCAGAGGAAAAGTGAAACATTCGAAAAATTATTTCAAAAAAATAGGCACTATTCTTATAAAATGCCTCTTTTAAGTCAGCATGTCTACAGACATGAACTGAATAACCATTACTCTAATTAAATAACTATGTTAGCAACAAAAACAAATGTAAAAGAAATAAGGGGAAAAAATATTATTTACTTTTTGAAAAGAAGCCTAAAATTTGCATACCTTAAGTGTTCCACCAATCCAAAATGCATAACAGGTATCATCCGGTTTATTGGCACGACCATGAAAACCCTCATTTTGTTTCCACAGCGCCCATTTCACAAGTCTTTCAATTTGTTTATGCGTCAAAACACTCTCATCCCATAAATGTCCGGCCATCGCTAATGCAGCTATAGCACAAAATGTTGACCCTCCTGAAATTCAAAAGACTTTTTACAACAATACCATGGTATCAAAAGTTATATTAATACCTATTTGTCAAAGCGCCCTATAACTTTTAGAGTGTTAAAAAAGAACTAAATGTTAATTAGATTGAATAAAACCATGTTCGGAAAATTTATTTCCAATATATTCATTACTTACGTTTACTTTCAAGCTTATAGCTTAAAGTAATTGCTATTATCTCATACTTTCATGTTTATGCTTTATGCTCATTGCTCATTTTAACTGTTTTATAGCTGCTTAAAAATCATTTGTACATTTCTGCATTTACTTCATCCTCAATCTTGCAAAAAAAACAGAGAGATCAATGGTAAATGTGTCACATTTGCCAGGAAAAATGCTTCATTCTACCTTGGAGTACTTTCAGAAAAAATGCCAACCATGACTTTCAAGAGAAGGTGCTTGACCGATACCACCATCAAAATTAACACACCGCTGAATAAATTTCAGCACCGATTTCATGTCAATTGTACTGAAATCATTGAGTATATGACATATTGCAATGGCACAATAGACAAAACGCATATCATTTTCGGTTCCTTGCTGTCCTCGAAAACTGAAAATAATTTTTCAAGAACTTTGTAAAAAAATCAATTTCTTCATTTTTTCAAAAAGTTCGACATTCGGATATTCTGGGGAATATAGAGTTAAAATTCTTTCACTACAACTGACTGGTTATTTAACGAAAGCATAACTTTACCAATGTGTTACTTTCTTTTATCTTTCTTCAGCAATCTATGGCAATTTCCAAATCAAAACTTAAAATTTGAAGTTCCGCAATTAAAATACTAATTACTGTTAAAGCTAGAGGATCCTAAACAGACAAAAATACAGAAAATGATATGATCCAAGATAATACATTCGAATTGCTTCATCCATGCAAAATTCTAAATTAAAGATTAGAAAAATATGAAATTCAAACCTGCCATCACTAAGCTGACCACAACATATTCCTTCTAACACAGCTTTCCTATCTACTCGACTTAAATCGTCTCCCAGAATCAATAAGGAGCAAAGAGCAACATAGGTCTGTGAAATGTGGGCACTATCATATAAGAAGCAATTTTTTGTGATAGAGGGACCCGATTTTGTAGCGACTACATCACCACCAGCATAATTCATTGTTTGATGATACCATAATGGCTTAGAAAAACCAAGAGATCCGCGAAATCCGTATGCTTCCTTTGGACAACCTGTAAAAAAAGAGTCAAGTTATGATATGCGAAAAGAGTAATAAAAATACAAATTTATAAATAACGCATCTAAAGTCCATGTTAACCAGTGGTAATATTTAATCTGAAAAATATTCCAAAATACAATGAAAAAATAAGAATATATAAAAGAATACTTTCTTATCTGAAATGCAAGCAAACGTATTGGCTGTGAAAACAGTATAAGTGAAAGTGGCTTTATTACATAAATAAATGAAGTAGAACAAAGAGAGAAGAAAACAAATGTATAAATCTACAGTTTCTCAATTCTTGTTTTCACAATTTCAACAGTTCAATAAAGATATTGTTTTCCATAGTCACAATTCATCCACCATTTTTATAAATTTACCTGATTAGATCTCGATAAAACTGGATGCAAAAAAGAGAAGAAATTCTGCACAACAAACAAAATTGAATTCTTCAGTAGAAATACCTATCCCAACTTTCTAACACAATCTTTGATAAAAGTTGCTCGTCAGCAACATCTCTTACTATTTGTGGGTCAGGATAGTTATTTTCAGAATATGTATCCAATGGCTGTAATGTCTCAGCACTAGTGTCCAAAAACAGATTTTCTGAAGCATCAAGATCAAATTCTACATCAAAAATCCTCGATTCTCGCTGAAGTCTACCAGAACGCACATCGTCCGATCTAAAAATTTTTGTATGAAATCTGCCCAAAAAGTTGCAAAATTACTAAATTGAGAAGAAAATGAGATTCAAATAACAGATAAACCATACATTTGGACAACATTCCTATTAATTCCAATTTCAAAATCCATTTTGCATGAAATCATTATTCGCAATTTTGTTATCCAAAGTCGTTTATGTCATCCAGTTGCACGTTTAAAAATAATAAAATAAATAAGAAAATCGGTAATAGTTACCTTCTCATATCGAAAATGCTAGAATCAACCATACTTTTCACTGTCGATGCTCCTTTCCACAACATCTTCTCTGACAGATTTTGATCATTCTGGATACTAATCTGTTCATACCATATACTTCCATCATCCATCATTCGGAAAAGAAATGATTTTTCATTACCGGAATCGACACAAATATTTAGGAAAGAAATGGCTCTAGTTGGTCCATTTCCAAATAACAGCCTTTCAGATAAACGCGGGATTCGTACGTTGTACTTAGGTTGTTCTCGATAAAATAAAGCTGCACTGCAAGGTTCCTGCAGTCGTTTGATTGATGCCAACGATGACCACATCGTGCTGTTTGAGTGACGATACAGGGAAAATGTTTGTACATCAGGATATATAGTGTGTTGCAAAATGTAGAAGGGATAAATAGTGCCATTTCGATCACTATCTCGAATGGGTGGAGCACTTGTAACGTGATGTCCGCCATGATAGATACTATGAGGCATTTCCAAATAAACAACTCCACGCATTCGTTCATCCACAAGCACAAACCTTCAAATTGCTTTCATATTCATACTTTTGATATTTTACTTATATCTCTAGTCTAAATTAATTTGGAAACTAAATTCACTAACAACAAAGTTTCTGAAAGATGAATCTTTACTTTTTCGATATACAAACAAGAAGCATTTGTGGAGCATCAGGCAAACTGTATAGCTGATGTATACTTTGCTTTTCAAAGGCACCTTTATACTGGAAATGGTACGAATTGCGTGACGTATCATCATATTCAGGAACAGTATACAGTAAATCACCTGTAATCATTCAATTTTTTAAACTGTCAGTAAATGTATCTTTTTAGAACTGAGAATAGCCAATACATTCAGCCTTAAATTACCATCCCATTAACTTCATTTTACTTGTTCATTTTCACTTTTAATAATGTTTATGATCAAATACTTTATTGAAAAATTAAAAACATATTGTCAGAAAAATTCTAACCATCCGAAATACCAACTCTCAAATCAATCAAATGAACAGCGCCTTTGCTAGCTGCATATATCAATCGTGGATGGTCTGATCCAGTTACTGACTGCAACAAATTCATGAAATTGGATAGTACATGTTAGAAGGGACGAATATCTGCCGTAATCATTTGTTTAACATTACTTATATTGCCGATAATATAACAAACAATCCTAATGATCGATGTACAAACAGTCTTAATGATCCGATTTTTTCGCCTCGTTGAAAGAAATTAATTTTTTTTATAAAAATTTCGGAGAAAAATGATGAGGATATTTTTAATAATACTGAGTAAAAATTAAAATTAATATAATAAGACTGAATAAAAATTAAAATTCCATTTTCTGTTTTAGAAAATTTCAACTTCGAAAAAGGAAAATCTAGAAAAATCAGAGAAAATACTGACCTCAATATCGTAGCCACATTTTGCTTGAATAAAATTGTTACCCATCTCTCCATACCAAATTAGACCACCATCATCAAGAAATACAATTTCATCGTTCATATGAGGTATGAATGACAAAGAATGGACAGGACGGTTAAAGAGTGTCAACACAACATTATTTTCTGGATCACAAAGATACAATTCTTTTTCGCTACGTGCTAGGATTCGACGTCTTTCTCCAGTAGGCTTATAAGATCGAAGTTCAAGTAAAGCAGTATTGACATCTAATGTTCGGCAAAATTTTAGATTATCAGAATTGGGATTACAAATCTGCTGCTCTCTAGATGCATCTTCTGCAGAGGAGTTCCAGTTTCCCTCCGTTATTTCTATTCTATCGGAATTATAAATCTCTTGATCTTCATCCCTATCAGACAAAATTCTCCATTCATCAAATCCCTCATCTCTTAAATGATGCAAACGAAATTCCAACAAGCGTTTTCTTGTTGAAAGTTCACTTACACACCACAGTGTGACCGAGTCTTCAGCAGGATCTTTCAACACTTCTAATAAATTCCTATTTTTCAATCGATTATTGCGAGTTTCGAAAGGCCAATGTCCTGCGTACCGCACTGCGAGACAATCCCGAACCCATGACACTGTTCGAGTTAAAAGTTGAGGGAAACCCACTGAATGCGGAACGATATGAGGCCGTTGCCAGTGATGTGCAAGATTATGTTGCGATACGTAAAAATCTTTGCTTGAACAATTGGACCCTTGATCTTGAACACTAGGATTGACCTTGATACCACCAAGAACGGAGCATCCCGTGTCCAAAAATCCAAAATTTGGGACTGGTGGTGCACAGAAGCCCATTATTTCTTATAAAAGAAACTCTAAAACATTCAGAAATGCGATAAAGCTTTAAAGATATCAAAAAAATAGGAAACAGAAAGAGGAAAACTAGAAAAAGTAAGAGTAGATAATATAAACTAAAAATAATGAGCTAAAACATAAACAAGAGTTTTAAAAATACCCAAAAATTACTGAAAGGACACATAAACTTCTTCAGAAAAAGAAAAAGCACACAGTTTGCTTGCATTTCGCAAATATACCCCTATAAAACACTGATATTTTTCATAAAAATCTCACCAGAATCACTTTTCAACTGTAAACGATAAATCCACTCGATAAGTTTTCTCCTTAATTCCGCATCCACCTCTTCCTCTAACTTCCCTAGCACATCAAGTGTCGACAAAGTGAAGTAAAGAATTGCTGCTCTAAAGAAAAAAATTTTACCAAGTATTAACAAGCAAAAATTTTAATGCAAACTATACTAAATTCTAAAATGTAATTTGAAAATTCGAAAACTCACCGAAACAGAAACACTTGCAACGTATAGGAAACAAGTACTCGATTATTTGCTTCTTTTGCTTACATTTTTTTTTAAAACATATTTTATTCTTTTCTACAAAAACACTCATTCTAAAAATTCTTTCAGGTCTTCCTGATATCTAACCTTTGATCAAAAGAGAGTATCAAAGGACAGTTCGCAAAAAGGACTAGATGTGAGCCTTATTTCTTGCACACACTCTAAAATAACTAACCTATTCGAATCAAAACTTCGATAACTGGCTGGTAACGTAATAAGATGTCCTCGTAGAAATTTTAAGTGTTGTGAAATAAAAAGTGCTTCAGACATAAACAAATGCGTAGAACACTGAAACAACGAACTGATAACTTTTTAAAAGAAAACAATTTTTTAAGTACCACAATTTTCATTGAGAAGGTTGAATTTCAAGAGCTGAATTGAATAGATGCGCCGCAATAATTAAAAACATCCATACAATTGTCACCAACTGTGATAATTTTTGGTTTCTCTGAGTGTCCATATATTCAGATTACACTCCATAGTATACGATTTTTAGTCAATGAGATGATATGTACCTACTTATCAATTTTTACTAATCAGGGAAATTTGCTCTTTATAGTTTCTATTGTCTCAATCAATATAAAGTAACTAAAAAAGGCTACCACGATTTATCACCTGGAACAAAATGTCAAGAAAAAAGGAGGACAAAGCATAAGAAATCAAATTCTGATTAACTGAATCAAAAGAGATATTATGATTTAATCAAACATTAGCTTATATATTCTTATCCAATATAAGCTGAAAAATACATGAGCTTAAACATATAAAAATAAGTGCGAAATATACAAGAACAAAAAAGCAATGACCAGTTCCCAAACGATGGTGATGAAAAGTACTTTACTGATAAGAGATTACCATATAAGGGCAAAAATCTATGCACTTTTATGAAACCAAATTTTATACATTGTAATAAAATATTCAACAACAACAAAAATATCATATCACAGAAGAATATTTTATCAGTTATCATCTTACTAATAACAAAGCCATGAATTTCCTGAAAGTATCCACATTTAAGTCTTTTACTGCGTCGAGATTTTCTGTAAACTTTCCAGACTTATACAGTTGAAGACCTGTAAAAATAGAGGTCAAGTTATTCTTTATTTTTAAGGATAATAAAGTTTAACTTGTTTTGAGGAATTTGGAAGCGAATATATATTAGCAAAATAAAATGGAGAATGTCAGGCGAAACAAAAAACATTCAATAAGAACTGAATATTTTACCTGGTTCAATCCAAACAACATTTTTATACCGACTATTAGCTCCTAAATCGAGTGTATTCAACTGAAACACCACTAAATCTAATCGACCATTAACAAGTTGCACAGCGCGTGTAATAACTGGTTGATCTACGAGATTTTCAAAATTAGTTTGGCCATGTCGTGTTGCTTGTGCTACTGCCGCCCCAAAGCATACCATTATCGCCTGAGCACCCAACTGTTCGCTAGAAAAGTATTGATGTAAAACGAAAGTGTATTAAATAGATTTCATTAGAAAAGAAGTATTATTTTAACTTGGAAAGAAACATTCGTTCAATACTCGAATAAACTAAGGTTCTTCACACGACAAACTTCCTACACAGATCTAAAATCTGAAACAATGGAAGCATAGATCGCTTCTCCATGAAGTCCTGAAATTGACTGTACCCTTTCTTCTTCAATGATAATCTATATTTTCCAACATCATACTTGCCAACTTTTTTTTCCATTGCACTACATTATTGTAATAAAAAAAAAAACATTATAGTAATAAAAAAACTTTTCACTCAGGAATATATGTCTACTTTCATTTACATAGGACTACTTATTCTTTGAAAAAAAGAATTTATTATACAAAGCAATATATTAGAAAGCAAAACAAGACCTGAAAACACAAGTTATTGATAGCTTATTATCAAGAACAGCATACCCGCGGTAATATTCATGAAATATCAATTTGATTGTCAAATATTAATTAAGATAACTGATGAGATCATATAACCAAATATAGACGCCGATATAACTTACATTGTCCAAGGATATTTTTGGTTTTGTTCATGACACCACAATATCGTATCAATAAAAAGATTCTCTTTAGCTCGTGGTAGTACCACGCTATCGTTATAGATGTGGTCTGAAGTGAGATCGATTCGAGGATTGATTGGTGCTGTATTCGGTACCGGTATGTTACTTAATCTGCAAAGGAAAAAAATTATTTAAATGTTTATAGACACAATTAAGAGTTACTACTTCATGCAATTTGTTTTCTTTTTTGTAATTGCGCTGTCTGAAGTAATTTGAAACAAGATAGAAAAAAAAAACTTCAACCAAACATACCTTCTTTCCTGTCAAGTGTTGCATAAAAGATCCACTTTTTGAAACAACGCGCAAATTCTCATACTGAATTAAAACTAACTTAAAATCCTTTTTAACCAATTTAATATCGAAAAAAACAAAACTACGATAAAAATTACCCGACAGCTTTCGTCCACGGTGTGAGAGGTTCTGGAGACTGAACAATGATATGAGGTTCTGATCGAAGAACGAATGGAATTTTTTCATTCTCCATATTATCAACTCGTAAAATTGCACTTAATGGTTCATCACGATCATATCTAAAACTAATTTGATGCCACCAAATGCGCATAATCTATTCATCCGACTTCTG